ACATTTCTCATAGTTTCTCCCTTCCCTCATTTATTCTTTCCCCTTCCATCTTCTTCCTGTTTATTCTCACTTCCTTCCCCTTCTTATCTCATTATGTCTTCCTATACTCTCAATTTACCCTCCTTGGCTCCTCCTCTCTTCTCCTTTTTCTCGCTTCACTTCTTTCATTTCTCTTCCTACCTCCTTCGTCTCCTTCTAAACCAATGTTCACCGTGAAACTCTCTCTCTCTCTCTCTCTCCAACAACAGATAGAGAGGATAGAGCCGGGAGGAGGGGAAGGACAAGTAGGGCAAGAGGGGAGAGGAAGAGGAAGAAGGAAAAGAGAAGAGGGAGAGGGAGAACTCTAGCACATCAGCTGATAGAAGAGGGAGAGGCCGGAGGGAGGGAAAGATAGAAGGGAAACAACGAGAGAGAGAGAGAGAGAGAGAGAGAGAGAGAGAGAGAGAGAGAGAGAGAGAGAGAGAGAGACTCTCACTCACTCCGGTACAACAGTGAACCTGTCAGCTTAACTCACCCCACGGATAAATGAACTAACTTCATATGGAGTTTTTTTTTCTGCTGCCCCTTACAGAGGTTAAGTGAACTCGGAAGTGTTATTAATCTCGAGGTGTCATACACAAGTCGTCTGTTATCACGGTAGATATATGTGTGTGTGTGTGTGTGTGTGTGTGTGTGTGTGTGTGTGTGTGTGTGCGTGTGTGTATGTGTCACTGGGTTAATTAAGGATAGCTTAGTGTTATGTGTAGACTAGACTATTAAACAGTAGTGCAAGAAAGTTTACTGTGCACGCTGAGACTCCTCGGAAAAATCGATAGTAAATATTACAGAGAGAGAGAGAGAGAGAGAGAGAGAGAGAGACGGGGAGAGAGGGTCGGGTCAGCGGCAGTATCACCAGCACCAGACAATGACAAAGACACGATGATCAGAAACTGACATTGAGACAGCCACAGACAGCCCTGGCAACACAGGGTGTGTGTGTGGGAGGGGGGAGGAGGAGAGGAAGGAAGGAAGTAAATGGAAGTGGTGAAGAATAATCCTCTTAGGCTTTATACACAAATAACATTCTCTGGGTTATTTGCGATGTAAAGTCGTATATGTCACGTGGGTTCGAGTTCTTCATACTGATACTTAACCCAACCTAAAGTTTTTTATAAATTTAGAAAAAAATCTTGTTTACCCAGTAAGTGAAGTTTTTCGTCCTGTTTGAACCAGTTACTGAAGCCTTTTGTTCCATGGTTAACAAGTCTGTGTGTTTTTTTTCAACCAATTTGCGCGGGTTCTTGCCGGATTCATTGCAATCAGTTTGTTTTTCGTTTTTATTCTGGTTCAACTTGTCATTGAGGATTTCACTCAAACCTCAATCAGTCAATGTGACTAATTGTTCTAACTTAGTCAACTAGTCAATCATACAGTCAACTAGCCAGTCAGCTAAATTATCATAAATTTACACAGCCAATCAGTTAATCAACCAGCCAACCTATTCCCTAATTAACCAGTCAGTCAGCTAATTAGCTAATTAGTCACCAGTCACAGATTCAACTAACAAGACAGTCTTCCACCCAAAACAAGATAAACTAACAATTGTAAACTAACTTATACCATTCCACACATGACATTTAAACCAAAGAGGTAATAAAACCTTTCAGAGTGAGGTAGTAGAAAACGACATGAATCCTTGGAACCCTTTATTAAAGAGAATCCAACGGCTCCGAACCCGGCATAAAAAACCTTTAAATGAATCCCCAGAACAGCCATGTAAGAAAACCCATGAATTCCTCAGAACCTTCATTACTTTGTTCTTCTGGGGTTAATTTTGTGGTGTTGGATCCTCCATTAAGTTAAGTAAGTGTTCCAGTCCACAGCTTTTGTAGGTTTTAAGACTCATGGGTCCTTCCGTTTATAGTGTCGATGATGGTGGTGGACGAGGCTATCAAGAGCGGCTATATATTTCTTCTAAAGGTCTATAAAATACTATAAAATATTCAAGAGTGAGGGTTAATGGGGGGAGGGGAAGGAAGAGGTAGTAGCCTGATCGTAGTTGACAAAGAAACAGAGACATCATTTCGCTCATAATTCTCGGGTGAAAATCCCTACTTCAGCTTTGTTTACTTATTGAGGCAGCGTAAGGCCGGATGGGATGGAGTGGTACCGATCTCTCTCTCTCTCCTCTGACGTACCACTATAAGGGGGGAGGGAGGGAGGGAGGAAGGGACGGAGAGAAGGAGGTAAATTGCTTTATCTCGTGATATCCTCCCTCCCCCCTTATAGATAAGTACCGCCACAACAATTTTTACAACCTTTTAAGAATACATCTACCACAACACCAGTAAGATGATATAATAACAATTCACAACGATTATAACCACCATCACAACAACCACAGCGTATAACTACCATCATAATATTATAATATCACTATAATAATAGCCACATCAAGACATACCATACCTATCACAACCACCATGAAATAACAACCCCGTGACGACACACACAACCACAGGAACGAGAGCACTTAATATTAAATACCATTATTCATGGCAGCTCTCGTCACGTTAACAATAAACCGCGAGGAAAAAAATAGAGACTGAGCAATAAACGTGTAGGTTATGTCGCACGGGGAGCCAGCCACCATCCCACTCACTCTGTCGCCCGCTAGTGTGGGTCACAATGGTTCAAGGAGCAGCTAAGATTCATCCCTAAATGAGTCGAGAGATGTAAGAGAATAACATGAAATACTTATATCCAGTGTTATGTAATGAATGATATAGAGAGTTAAGTAAATATATTTTTGTTTCTCATAAGGTGTTGATGATGCGTGTGTGGGTTTATTTGTATTCACCTATGATATCTTTTCTTAAACTCATGGAAATATCAAAAGTATTGTTGTTAATTAATGTATATCTGCACCCTCCACAATGAACGTCTTTAGTCATTGTGTTCAGGAAGACCTATACTGAGATCTTGAACAGAATACAAATGTTCAGGTGTGACGGATGACTGACTTCATAATTGCACAAATGTCGACGCTTACAATAAGTTAAGGTGGATGTTTGTTCTCAGCGTGTCCTTAGAGAGTGTGTTATTCCTTTTCTTTATATACACGTACTGGCTATTTAACATTATGGCGGAAATATTGCGAAATGAAAATTCTTGATACCAAAGTCGAATTAAACCAAGTCAACCTACTTCGAGTCGAAAATTCGTCCTTCGCCGCGCATGGCATCATCTGGTCCGCGACCCGGGGGATGCCTGGCCTGGGGTCTTGGGGTGGGGTGGGACCTCAGTTACCAGCTGGCCGTCGTGGTGTGAGGGTCTGTGACAATGCTTGATAAATGGGCCGTATGTGGATGCATAGCAAATTACAGACTATATGATAAAAGTTAGAGATTTCATCGATTTCCAAAGGATGAAAAACAGAGAAAACGGTGGATTTTATTGTGCATGCAGCTGAGCATTAGTAGGTTTAAATTTGAATTTCCTAAAGTCTAACTTTCAGCTAGATGTGGAGAGACAAGTACTCTATTTGTTGCTTGAAACTGTTATGTAGCCTTGTCAGCTGTAATATATCTAGTGGCCATATTGATAAATTGAAAACCTCTACACATATATACTTGTATTAACTGATTTACTGTAATAGCTTGGGGGAGAGAGAATGATGATAATTATTATCAATATTTTTTTAAATTTTATTTAACTATTTTATTTAATCTTTGTATTCCTTCTCCCCCCCCCCAGTTAATAGCTAGCTCCTTGCCTATGCTTACTTAATTACTTTTACACTGATACTGGCAAGAAAATCATAAGACTATAAATAATATTGATAAAGAAAGAAAGAAGAGGAATAATAATAATAATAATAATAATAATAATAATAATAATTAAAAAAAAATAATTATAAGAATAGGAATATCATAAGATTAATGCTTACATGAGAAGTTCAAGTGGCTAACTGAAATTTAATATAGTGTGCTGGGAGATGAGAAAATCTGGACGTATGGCAAGAATATCTTCTAATACAGTAGGGGGGGGGGGTCTCACCAGGGATTATACAAGTCCTCCCTTACTACCGTTTTCTTCCACTACGGCCAATGACGTAACATAATAAGCTCCGCCTCCTGTGCAGGGGTTGACTTGGTATAATAATACTTTGCTCGATACAACATAACAGGACTTATTCACACTTGATGGACACGGGACTACACATAGGAAGTCTTGTCCGGATACTGTCACAAAATAAAAACAAGATAAATATGTGATTACGTTATTAGGTTATGTTAAATTGACTTATATTAAGCTAGGTTAGGTTAAGTTATATAATGTAAGAATATTTTTTTTTAGGTTTAGTTAATCTAGGTTAGGTTAGGTTACACACACACACACACACACACACACACACACACACACACACACACACACACCGCCTCCAGCATTAATCTCACAAAACATCCAATTTATTTATTTATTTATTTTTCGTTTTTGCTCGGTAAAGGTCAGAGTCAAGATCAAATATAGACTTTCCCTTCATTCGCCATCATTCATTCAACTCTTCCTTCATTCACACTTGATGCGGTAACAAACGTTTTCCTTTGGTTAGGTTAGGTTTGTTTTAGTTCATTGTGTTTGCTGGGCGTTCTCTAGGCAGCTTTAGTTATAGGTACCAGAGTAATATATAACAAAAGGCAGGAGATATGATTCTGTGTGTATAAATACGAAAGATAAACATAATATATATACATACAAGTCGAAATAACAAAACTATGCGGTAAGGGACATGGGATAATACCCAAAATGTAAGTCGAAATAGCAAAAAAAAAAAAAAATATTCGTAAATAAAAAAGTTCTTATAATTAACGATGTAATCCCTGTTTTATAAGTCCATACAAAATACACAAACTTTACAAGGGATTAAAAATAACAGAAAATTCCATTATGTATCCAGGGTGAAGGAACTGCTCTCACCAGAAGGTCGATCACTACAACAACATAAAACAGGTACTCACGTCCACAGCGATGCCCGGGAGGTCAAAAATCTGCATCTTGGGCGTGTCAGCAGGGATGTAGCGGAAGAACTCATCCTCGCCGCGGTACCACTTGACGGAGTAGAGAGTGTCACCTTCCTCGTCGAAGTTACACTCCAGTTCCACCGACATTCCCGCCACCTGGTGTGAGGGGACTTTTACTGACTCTATCCTGATAGCGTCCACAGTGCTGGTGGTGCATCCTGTGGGGGAGGAGACGAAGGTGTTAGCTCTTGCGGTCGTGGTGAGGGAGGTGGTGAGGGTGATGGTGAGAATGATGGTGAGGATGGTTATGAGAGTGGTGATAGTATTGGTGGTGGTGAGGGTGGTGATGGGTGTGGTGGTGATGGGTGTGGTGGTGAGGGTAGTGGCGGTGGTGGTAGGGGAGACGGAGGTATGGAGAATGGATGAGTGTGTGGGAAGAGAGATGGAGAGAGAGAAAATCAGGAAATGTAGGAATAGGGGACGAGAGAAGAAGTGGGAGAGTGATATGTGAGGTGGTGATGTATTTAAGGTGCGGCAGTGTGGGTGATGGTGTGAAGGCGTGAGCAAGTAACAGCTAGGTGGAGTACGAGGCAGGTAGTGGTAGAGTCGTAGTGGTGGTGATAAAAAAGGTGGTGGTAGAGTGATGATGTAGAGGGCGACTTGTCCATACGAAGAAATACTGAAGCAAGAATGGATATATATCAGGTGAATATTACCAGCATTATGACCAGGTATAGAAGCTTTATATACGCTAGGAGAGTTAAGTGGAGAGGGATCAAGAGGGAGGAGGCACGTCTCTTGCTGATAACAGGAGGCTTAGAAAGACTGAAGCCGTAATACTGGTAAAACAAAATCTCACCCCACACACATCTCACCCATTCCTCACCTCTCCTGAAAACCCCACCTCCCCCATACCTCTCACTTATTCCCAACCCCTCACCTGCCCCCGAAACACCCCTCACCCCCCACATCCCCTAAAGCAAAGAGGGTCAATGACAGGTGAAGGTTTTAGATGTGCTATGTGAGTATATAAGTGATGAAAACATAGCCAACGCAATGCACAATAGAGATCAATGCAACGTAGTATTAAGAGACGTAGCAAATGCATTCGACAAGGTCTGGCGCTTAGAGCTCAAATGCAAGATAGTCAACCAAGAACTCCCCCAACAACTTCACTTCTTTTCTTTGTAACTTCCTTGATAACAGAGAGGCAAAAATTATCATTGGCAACCACATAGGCCCAAGCATCAAGCCATACAGCGGAGTACCACAGGGGAGTAACCTCTTGCCAACACTCTACACAATATACACGTAGGACAAGCCACCACCTACCCACGGAGAATACATAGCCTATGCCGATGACGTCACCCAAATCATCCGACATCCAGGCAAAACCAAACAGATGATGGCACGAAACACAGCCCACGCCATCGAGCAAATGAAAAATTATGAAAAAAAGTGGAAAATCCAAACTAATACTCAGAAACTAAAGATCATTCACATTGCCAAAACAAATCCAGCACCAATTACAATCAACAACGAACATATACAATACTCCAACGAAGGCAAAATACTGGGACTCACAATAACAAGAACAGGCATAACAAAACACGTAACACAATGCAAAACGCTTGCCCAATCATAACTCACAAAACTACGAAGATTCAGCGAAATGAACACCAACATTCAACTACACCTATTCAAAACACTTGTCCGCCCCCACCTGGAGTATCCACCAATACCACTCAGCACGATCAGCAGAACTAGCCAACTTAAACTTCAACAGTACAAAACAAAGCTTCCGTAGAGCATCAAAACAACTCCCCCCCTACACCACCAAAATACAAGAACTTCATGAACTATACAATATCGATCCACTGAACACACGTACACACAGCCAAGCTCAGAGAGTTTGGAGCAAACTTGAAGAGTTGGAGAACCCAATCTTCTCCCAGTTAAAAGAAACCACAAAAACACACAGCTGGTGGCCCACGAGCCTCCCTGTTAACACAGAAGAACCAGACCCACTTTATACATATATATGAACAAATAACATCACCATTTAACAAACATAAATCAACACACATTACACAAATGAATGTCTAGCGAGCTTAGCTTAACCACCCCCACCCCCCCAGTCTCCCTTGAGCGAGCGGACGCGTGCTGTGTATGGCCAACACCCCAACCAATCACCTCGACTCAGCTAGGTGGACAGCCCACCTGCTATTACTCCCTACTACTTCACTTCCCGTTTCTATTCTTTCCTTCTCTCTTTCCTCTCCTCTCTCATGGCAAAGTTATCATCATCTTAATGTCTTTATGATGTTGTGTCAAGACGAATGAGCCGCAGACCTCCCTGGATCAGCCGTGGTCGGCGGGGGGAGTGATACATTAACCTGTTTGTCACGATCCCCAGCCAATAAAAAAAAAAAAGATGAAGTTTGGGAGAGTGAAAGAAGTGAAGTGATCGAGTAATTTACCCAACAGGAAGACACTTTACGTTCTTATCAGGTGGAAACAGCAATTATCTTAGGACAAAAATAGTTCAAGAGAGATAGGATGAGAAAGGGGAGAGAAGTGAGTTTGATGTCTTTATTTTCATGTTCCAGAATTGTTGATAATATACAAAAATATGGCATATTAGATAAGGAGAAGAATCCTGTAGTAATCCTCAACACTGTGCCAATGCTCGCCAATAGCAAATAGTTATTAAAGCTGGGACAGTTATGACATCCTTGCGTAGTGTGAATGTTTTACGCAAGCAGTATAGTGGAGGACATCATCAAATATTTTCCACTGGAATAAGGGACCATGAAAAGGTAGTACCCTTGTTGTGGGTGGTCATGACGTTGGGGAGTTCTCAAGTTTCTCTCTCATATAAATAGAATCTGTTAAAGTATGTCGAATATATAATTGATGTCCACAGCATTCTGTAAAGGGGTTGAAAAACGACTGGAATCACGGACAACTCTCACGGGAGTACTTGTCGCCGACTGCGAATATTTATGACGTACAGACATATTCAAGTGCGTACTCCCTGTTGAGTCGTCCTTATAATTAAACCTTTGGATGACTTCGCGAGAAGGTACGTACGGTATCACGCACCCTGGCGTGTTCGTGTTCGTGGCCTATTTTTCGTTAACACGCGATAATTTAGAAATGGTGTAATGATATTCTGTTCATTCGGCAAGAATATTCCCACCACTCCCCTTGCCGTGTATTCCACAAGAGCTCGGATAAGTTCGATAATGATTACAATCCAATTAAAACTGACGATTTGGCTGCCATTTTTTTCATGAGATTCCACAAATTACATCAAGTTAACAACGCACCTTTTGAGCTTAATGAGCTCGTTAGTGCGGACATATTGCGAGTTTGAACATATACAAACGGCGTCTTACCATTATCATATAGACAGCATCTACGACTTGAATCACGAAACACTCAAGTGTGTCCTTGAGTAAAGGATTTTCATGACGTATTCAAGTCTCAGCCTCGAGTAAATGGCTCCTACTCTCAGCTCCGCCTCAGTTCAGAGCACTCAGCTCAGCCCGTGTGTATTGATGTCGTCTGCTGAAGTGGTCCATTTGGCTCTTCTCCAAACGTCTACATCGAGGAGGAGGAGGAGGAGGAGGAGGGGTACGAGGATGACACACAAGCCTCTGAACAGTGAGTGAAGTGGGTATCCTGAAGACCACTCGATAACTGAATAACCAGCAAGCTGATACAGGAGGCTATAGGGCTGACTTATATGGCTGACGTCTCAAGAGCTGAATGGTGACTGATAAACATTACCAGTTTGATTGAGGCAAAGTCTGACATTTGGTATCATCTTCTGACTTTGTGAAGGTTGTAGTCAGCATTACTAGCTGACACCTCTTAGTGAAAATGGGTTAATAACAGTTACCAGTACTTGACAATTTGTTATTAAGGACTGACATTTGATATTACCGGCTGGCGATCATCTGACACCCGGCACCGGTGACTGATGTGTAAGCCTGGGGAAGCCTCCATCAGGTGGAAAGTGTATTACGTGTGTGCGTGTGTGTGTGTGTGTTAATCAACTTACACACACACGTATGGTTAGGTTAGGTTCAGATCTCTATTTTCTGACATCCAATTTTTTTCTCGCTCACATTCTCCCTATGTCTCACCTTCCTTCGCCCTCTCCTCTCCCTTATAAACTCTTCTCTTCTCCCTTATCTTACCTTTACACTCTCCTCAGCTTTACTCTTCTTCATTTATGGTCTTTCTCCCCCATTTCCTCCTCTTCCTCGCACCCTTTATAGCTCTCTTTCTTCCCCTTCTCTTCCTCCTCTCCTCTCTACGCTCTTACATTATTTACCTTTTCCCTTCTTACCTTCTCCATCCTTCTTTATTCACTCACACTCCATCACTCTTCATCTACTTATTATTATTTATTTTCTTATAATCTAAACATTCTTTGCTCTCCCTCACCAGACCTTACTCTCCCTCACTACACCTTACTCTCCCTCACCACATCTTACTCTCCCTCAGCACATCTAACTCTTCCTCACCCCATCTTACTCTCCCTCACTACATCTTACTCTCCCTCACCACATCTTACTCTCCCTCACTACATCTTACTCTCCCTCACTACACCTTACTCTCCCTCACCACATCTTACTCTCCCTCACTACACCTTACTCTCCCTCACCACATCTTACTCTCCCTCACTACACCTTACTCTCCCTCACCACATTTTACTCTCCCTCACTACACCTTACTCTCCCTCACCACACCTTACTCTCCCTCACCACACCTTACTCTCCCTCACTACACCTTACTCTCCCTCATTACATCGTACTCTCCCTCACCACATCTTACTCTCCCTCACTACATATTACTCTCCCTCACCATACGAATACGCTTAAATCATATCATAACACCATACAGTCACTTATGATGCCGTACACCATATATATATAGTGTCTGAGATTGTAAACTAACACCCAACTCACGACAACAACAGAGTTAGAATCATCGTTTTGATTCAGTACTTGTTAATGAACTAGTGTAAATACGTTTTTTTTTACACTAGTTGTTAATGAACAAGTGTAAATACTTTTTTTTACACTAATTGTTAATGAACTAGTGTAAATACATTTTTTACACTAGTTGTTAATGAACTAGTGTAAATACTCATCTCGTTAAGTTCTTGAAGACTTGAGTTGATGGAACGTATTAATAATA